GATATCTATCAATTAATAAAATACCCAATGTATATTTTATCAAATATCGCAATAAAATATATTGAGAATTTCACGATTTAATTCATTTCTATTTTTTTATTAAATGTACATCTTTATGTCAATTTGTGTACAACGGTTTTAATTTAAAGTGCACTGAGTGCGCATCAGTTCTGCCAGTGAAAAATGCTATAATTCGACTATGAATTTCAGTCTAAGATTCTTTAATATGATTGGTTAGACATTTAGAGCTAACGAAGAGTCAATCATATTAAAAAATCTTACAATACACACACATACACACAGCTACAAAATTTCTTTTTCTATCGAACGCTGCCATTACAAATTAGAATTTTCAATTATTTTGTAAATGCTATTTATTTTTCTAATACAAAAAATTTTTGCATGAGTCACTTTCACATGTGTTTTGCGTACATTCCTTGTTATCAAGAATATTTTCCACGCCATCTCATTTGTTATGAGCACGATGAATGCATTACGAGCCGAATATCGATTAAATCTTAACAAAATACCTCGAATATATGCATATCGCAATTTCCAAATTGTCCATCAACCGCCAGGAATAGTTAGATAAAAAGTCGAAAAAAAAACGTCACTCGGTTCTCCATAAGGCGCATGCGTCTTATCGCTAGAGCGCAAACCTTAGAACGCATTTTACGTGGAAACTGTCAGCGTGATTGGGTTCTCGACCAAATAAATAAGCATGACAAACGGTAGAGAATCATCTGGCAAAAGTTTCATCTCGATATCTCGCGTCGTTCCAGAGATATTAAATGGCCACTTTTAACGAGCAAGCGGAGCACGAAGCAAGGCACGGGGCGCTTCCCGGCATGGCAACGCGCGCGCCATCGACATCGCTCGCGGCAGAAGCGTGTCAGGGCCTCTCGCTCTCAGCTACGAAGTATAGCCTTTGTAACGTGTTTGCACTACAAACGATTTTTGAACGATATCGATTCGCACGATGATTATTTTGTCGTTTTCCATAACTTTTGTCAGCATCGTATCTTGAATCCATTTGTTTCATTTGTATTCCTTTTTTTTTTACAAACTTATAAAAAGAGTAAGGGAAAAATAACACATAGAAATTTCGTAAATTGCTAAATAGTGATAGTTCTAATTGCAATTGTATCAGGTTGACGCGAGAAATTTGTCGTATTAAAGTAAGTTGAGAATTTCAATGAAATCGAAGCAAAATCACAGAACTTTAGTATATATTCTTTCCACGAAAAAAGATATTTCAATGACTTTTTAAAAAAATTTCAGTTTTTTAATTTTACTTATGACGATGTTTGGTGAAGAAACAACAAAACTTTTTGCTACCTTAATGGACAGTGTTATATTTAATAGTTTAGTATTGGTTATTGTAGCAGCTGCACAAAAGACACGTGTGTTTTTCGCAATAAAAAGTCATATGTTTTTCACGATAAAAATCGACACGGTAGTTCAATCCATATTTTCCATTGTATGTCTATCACTTTTGGAAAATTACGTGTTACTACAAGCCATTAGGTATGTCGCGATATGATAGACGTAGATTACGGAACGAGTTCAAATCGATATCGTAACTAATTCGCGTATCACGAGAAGACTGACATTTCCGAGTCATATTTTTGTTTTCACGACCGTTACATAATTTTCCATTCAGGCGTCATGATTTTACCTTTAATTATCGAAAAATTCTACGATAAACTCGTGTAATTTTGTTATTTGTACGAAGTAATTTTAAGATGTAAGAATCGTAAAGCAAAATGTTTCTTCTTTTCGTAATTGAGATTTTCATAACTGAAACAAATTCGCGCTTTACATATTTGTTTATTTTTTAAACATAATTGCGTTTAATTGATTGACCATTCTGAAATAAAGTACAAATATTTGAGAAATGTTCATTTTATGATTTACGAATGTAAATCTGTCTTCCATAATTGACGAATTTTTACGCTTGTCGGATTAATACAAACAATGATGCATCGATGTATAATTCCTTTCATAAGCAGGTTAAACAAATCAAGCGAGCACATTATGAAAGCGAATGCACGCAATAATTAATTAGACATGATTACCAGAAAAATGTTAAATACAGAATATGATATTTTAACATCCGCTACACCGTTATATATATTTCGCGAACCGAGAAGTATCCGTATAATTGGAATAATTGCTATAATATTTTTTTTATTTTTCTCAAACAACGAATGTGATATAAATGCATTTGCATATTTCCCTGTCATATTCCATATGTGAAAATTGTGTACTTAAGCAAAATCTGTTAAATCTTCATACTTGATTAACAATTCAGTATAAATCAATATTATTCAATACTATTCAATACTCGTTATAGTCCAACAACAAAATTCGAATATACAACATTATCGCGCATATCGGATATTCAGTTTTGGAAAATCCATTCTACATTTTATAACGCTTATTATAACATTTGATTACACAGTTAATTGTGCATCTGTGAAAAACTATGTTATCTGTAATTGCGGTAGAATGGAACATCGTGATAGGCACGAGGTGAAGTAGGCGAGGCGCAGTAAAAAAAGCTGCGATTAATGACGTGCGCGACGGCGACGGCGGGCGTCGACGTCGTTGAGGAACAAAGAGGAATGTCGGCCCAGCCAGGGCGGACGTGGAGGGGACGGAGGGGAGGGGGGGGAGGCGAACGCGTGTATGAGTACACGCCATCTACGTGGACTCCACGATGCGTGTATTCCAGGGTTGCGCAATTCGGTGCAGCGCGCGCGCGCGACACAGCAGCGGCCGAAATTGCGAGAAACGCGCGTATGATCGTCAGGCGCTTTCCAATTTACGCATCGCTCGCGGGGTTGCGCAGCGTTTCGTGCACGACGATTGATTGTGCTCCGAAGGGAGGCGAGTCTCGTCCCGGAGGGAGCGTCCGAGTAGGTGGAGCGGGCGGAGGGGCTGATGGGGGAAAAACAGAGGAAGAGAGCGAAGCGGAACCCTGAAAGGGGGTACGAACGAACGACGCAAAACAGGAGCGACGGAGAGATGACACGGGAGAAGTACGCCGAGGGTTGGGAAGAAAGAGGGATGCGAGGCGCAGGAGTAGGGAAAGATATCAACACAAAGAGAATGAGAAAAGGAAAGAGGTGTATGATCGAAAGGAGGGAAAAAAAGAGAGAGAGAGAGAAAGAAGAAACAGCGAATAAAACGAGAATATGGGAGAAGAGAATCGCGCGCGCGATGTAGCGGTCATGGAAAGAAGCGGCATCGCCGCACGGCTACTTGGCTCTCCAGGGCCAGGATATTTCAATACCGACGGTGGTCGGGCACCGACGTGGGATTGCACAAGGGAAGGGGGA